ACGCGTGAATTGAAACTCGATTTTAGTATCCTATCTTGTAGAGCGTCCTTTGAAACCTCTAAAAATATATACTTTGTTGGGGGTACACTTGAGTCTGGGAAAGTTATAGGGCAAAAAGTGGCATTTTTGGGGCAAAAATTGGTCGGTTTTTTGAGTGTAACTTTTTTTTAAAAATTTTTAAAAATAAACGGAGTTCGGATTCGTGTTCAGCACCCTTTGGAGTACCATAAAACATATTTTTCTCGAGGTCGAATTTTTGACCCATTTTTGAAGGGGTACCCCTTTTGAAATTTTTTGGTGAAATTTAAATTGGGCATAACTTTGTATGTTTTTGTCATAGCCAAACGAAATAAGGGTTATAAAATAGAGCAAAATATTACAAATTTTTTGAGCTATTTAAATTTTTGAAAAATTTAACCCGAAGCCTGGTAGGGTCGATTTTTTGAAAATTCAAAATTTTTCGGTTTTTTAAATTTTCTGGGGTATATCGAGGCTGAGGGTGGTTGTAAATATTTTTATAAAATAGAGCAGAATTTTTACTATATATTAAGCTTTTAAAATGTTTCAAAAGGGTCACTTTTTGGGGAGTTATGAATTTTTGAAAAATTACGTGAATTTTTCGGAAGAAATTTTCGGCCAAAAAAATTTTTTTTGGAAAAATCGAAATATAGGGCCAAATTTTATATCAATCGAAAGCTCTCATCAAGCTGAGCTTAAAAATATTTTTTGCAAAATTTTCTGACCATTTTGTACAAAGTTACAAAAGGTCGAAATTTCGGGTGAGGGGGGTTTGGGGGTCGAAGGCCCCCAAACGGCGGGCCGGAGGCCTGCCGTGCGAGGGCCGAAGGCCCGAGCGCTCGATGCCTAAGGCCGAGGAGTTACGGCGAGGGCCGAAGGCCCGAGCTTAAGATCCATCCCAAAATGGGTCGCGAAGGCCGAAGGCCCGAGCTTAAGATCTATCCCAAAATGGGTCGCGAGGGCCGAAGGCCCGAGCTTAAGATCCATCCCAAAATGGGTCGCGAGGGCCGAAGGCCCGAGCTTAAGATCCATCCCAAAACGAATAGCGAGGGCCGAAGGCCCGAGCTTAAGACCCATCCCAAAACGAATCGCGAGGGCCGAAGGCCCGAGCTTAAGATCCATCCCAAAATTAATCGCGAGGGCCGAAGGCCCGAAGCAATGAAAAGGCAGAGCTAAACTTCACCGGCGATGGCCGAAGGCCCGAAGCAATGAAAAGGCAGGGCAATCTTTACCGTTTCTAGCAGCGCGCGAAGCGCGCCCCAAAGCCGTTAGGCTTTCCAACGGGCAGAGCAAAATTTTACCGCCAGAGTATCCTAATAGGAATTGCATACGTAACTTACCGCCATACCCCAATGGGCACAACTAGTTTAATACTTATATAAAAAACCCCAACTTGTCCCTATTTTTGGGGGTAAAATCCTTTCAAAAAAGTCCTGCGCCCCGGCCGAAGGCCGAGGAATTTTTTCAAAGGTGGATTTGTCCTGCAACTTTTTGCGCTCTATTCAGGAAAATTATGACCTCGGCACTGAAACGTCGTTTTCGCACTGAAACGGCCATGTGTAGTTTTTCAAATGGAAATAGCGAGGAGGGGAGAAGTGGGTGCAAGAAGTGTTTGCTGGGAGGAACTCCAGTTGGGATATGTACTATATCGTAGAAAAAATCTTGGAGGCCTGGGATCAACGCCTGAGGCTGTGGCCTTGGCTAAAAATTGTACATCTCGTCCCAAAATGACCCATGGTGTCCGACGAAAATCACCGACAATTTTCAAACTATATGCCTATCGATAGAGTTCCATGAGTTGGTTATGGGAAATTTTAGATTACATTTTTGGGACCACTTGGGACCGAGTTATGGGACTCGAAAGGTCCAAAATGTCCAAAACCCCTAACGTGAAGGGTGGCTCCCATTGAGTGTAATTATAAAATTGCTTAAGATTGGGCAAACGGTTTCAACTCTTTTTTAGTATGTTAGGGCACTAAATGTACTACACTTTTGTTGGGGGACACTTGAGTCTGGGATTTTTTCCTGACATTGTTATGGGACCAAAGTGACCACGCCAAAACCGACTTTTTACCGCGTGAATTGAAACTCGATTTGAGTATCCTGTCTTATAGAGCGTCCCTCAAAACCTCTAAAAATATATACTTTGTTGGGGGTACACTTGAGTCTCAGAAAGATATAGGGCAAAAGGTGGCATTTTTGGTGCCAAAAGTGGTCGGTTTTTTGGGTATAACTTTTTTTAAAAATTTCTTAAAAATAAACGGACTTCAGATTCGTGTTCAGCACCTATTGGAGTACCATAAAACATATTTTTCTCGAGGTCGAATTTTTGACCCATTATTGAAGGGGTACCCCTTATGAAATTTTTTGGTGAAAATTAAATTGGGCATAACTTTGTAGGTTTTTGTCGTGGCAAAACGAATTAAAGCTTATAAAATAGAGCAAAAAATTACAAATTTTTTAAACTATTAAATTTTTTAAAAATTTTACCCAAGGCTTGGTAGGGTCGTTTTTTTGAAAATTCAAAATTTTTCGGTTTTTTTAAATTTTTTGGGGTATATCGAGGCTGAGGGTGGTTGAATATATTTTTATAAAATAGAGTAAAATTTTTACTATATATTAAGCTTTTAAAATGTTTCAAAAGGGTCTATTTTTGGGGAGTTATGAATTTTTAAATATTTGAGTAAATTTTGAGTCTCAAAATTGGGAATAAATTTTGACTTGGCAAAATTTTTTAATTTTTTTACGAAAAGCGGCCTATATGGTACTCTAAAATGCGCTGAGTCCATATCCGTTCTCAGAAAACTTTTAAAAACTTTCCCCGAGACGATAGAGTTAGATAAAGTTTTGCGACATTTGCGAACATTGGCCATAATTTTTTGAGACTCGAGCGGACCCCCAACAAAGTATACCTTTTTCGGAGCCCCAGTGGACGCTATTTCGAATGGGCTATCGAAAAAAGCTGAAACGACCTTTTAAAAAAAGTTGACTTTTCGACCAAGGATCTTTGGACCATATGACCCCCAAAACTTCATCTGAGACTCAAGTGACCAACTAATGATTTATTCACAACACCCATCCCTACAATATCACTCCCAGGCACTTAGACCTCCAGGCTTTGGAAAAAATGCTATAACGAGTTGAAATTTTCACCTGGCCATTTCAGTGCCACACTTTAGTGTGGCACCAAAATGGCCATGCGCATTAAACTCCCCGTGGTCGATAACCTATTATCCCGCTTTTTTTACTTTAATTAAGTTTCGGCCAACTTTAGAATAAGCCGTGGGCATTTTGTCCGCCTGACCATTTTGTCCATAGGCATTTTTGCCTTTTTTCTCATTTTTTTAATTTTTAAAAATTTTGTTTTTTTTTGTTTTTTGGGGTTTTTTTTAATAATTTAGGGTCCTCTTTTTTATTTTTTGTTTATTTAAGGGTCCTGATCACACCGCGGCCCTTTTTTTCGAAAAAAATCTTGAAATAATTCCCAAAAATGGCAAAACATGTTTTTTGCCATTTTTGCGCTTTTTTCCGGTTTTTTGAGAATTTTTTCGGGTTTTCGGGGTTTTATTAGTTTTTAGTCGTTTATAAAATGTTCTTTGGGGCCCACTGATTAAAATAATGTAAAGTTTACCGAAAAGTTTTGAGAAATTTCGGGTTTTATGAAATTTTCATAATTTGCCTTTGGTGTGTGATCAGGGTCTTTTTAGGGTACTTATTTACTTTCCCCCTCAATCTGGTAAATATGTAAAATTCTTGGTCTGTTAGGCTGTAGAACTCGATGAGCTGTGTCGAATGACACTAAAACCAAAAAAATCAGACTTGGTTTGACCGAGATACAGACCCCTGAATGTTGAGTAACCATGGGGTGATTTTTTGGAATAAAAGATGTTTATGGAATTGATAGCTCATTCGAAAGAGCTCGTCGAGCCGAGTAGAATGACATCAAAATCTACGCGATTGGACAAGATTTGATCAAGTTATGACATTATATAGATCCGCTGTAGTTGGCGACTTTATGTCATAACTTTATCAAATCTTGTCCAATTGCCTAGATTTAGGTGTCATTCGACTTGGCTCGACAAGCTCTTTCGAATAAGCTATCATTTGAAGAAATTTTCGCCCCTGTGGATTTTCGCCTCTATGGTTGCTCGCTTTTCAGGGTTCTGTATCTTTGTTTAACCATGTTTGATTTTTTTGGTTTTGGTATCATTCGACACAGCATGACGAGTTCTACAGCCTAGACATACATGATACTTCTATAATTTATCGAAAACCTTGATTAGGGGGTGGGAAGTAAATAAGTACTCTTTATCTTAATTTAATTTTTCTTTCTATTTTTTTTTAAATTTATATTAGCATGGATAAATGGATGGATGCATCTGTGCAACACTTCAACAATCTTCAAAGGATAGTTTGTTTTACTCCCTCGGTAAAGGGAGTTGATCCCTACTAATCAGGGAATGTTCCCTGATTAGTTGTACTCTTTATTGAGGAGGGGTCATGCCGAATTTTTTCGCGAAATTCGGTATGAAACTTCTTTAATAGAAAGTAAGCTAATCAGAGGGCATTTTCTGATTAGGATTCATTCTGGATAGACGGGTTATGCCGGTTTTTTTATCGGTATGACTCCTTTACAGGACGAAACCTAATCAGAAAATGCCTCCTGATTAGCTTCCTCTCGATTATGGATGTTTCATACCAACTTTCGCGAAAAACTTCGGCATGACCTCTACTCTATAAAGAGTACGACTGATTAGAGAATATTCCCTGATCATTAGGAATTAACTCCCTTTACCGAGGGAGTAAAACAAACTAACCTTTGAAGATTGTTGAAGCGTTACGCAGGTGCATCCATACATTCCAATATAAATTTAAAAAAATTTATTGAGAAAAATTATAGCCATAAAAATACAAAATTACCATAAAATTTTTTTTCTTTTTTTCAGATAAATTTATTTTATTATTTCGTTTTGTTGTTAAAATTTTGAAATGCCGTCAAAACAAAAGAAAATGCGAAAAATGAAAAAACAACAATACCAAAAGCGTGTTGCTGATGGTTCTGTTGATGATTCTATGGATGGATCAATGCTTGATGGAGGAAATGTTAGTTTTGTTAGTAGTTTTGTTGAGTTGGGTAGTAAAGGGGAAAGGGTTTCATTGTGTGATAATATTTCTGATATTTCTTTAAATGGTTCTATTATTTCACGTAGTGTTTCCCCTAATATTATTTCTTCAATTTCGCGTGTTGGGAGACCTAAAAAACGAAAAGTTGTTGGTAGGCCCAAAAATGTTGTTTTAAATGAAAATGTTTCTAATGATAATTTGAATATGAATTTTGTTCCTGATTTTTTGTCTGTTAATTTATTAGATATTCCTTTTGGACCTGTTTTACATAGTGATAATCGTATGATTAATATGAACATAAATGTAGCAAGAAATTATATTAAGGAATTGTGGTCAGATCCAGATACTTGGCTTCAAGAAGATTATATTTATTCCTATCTTAAATACTTGACCACCCGTACAGAAAAACGTGTTGTTATACTTGACCCAACATATTCTTTTGTGGACTATCAATATGGGGATAGAGATCCACTAATTCCTATAGAAAATTGCTATAACTATTCAGCCAATTACGACATTTTATTCATACCAATTTGTTTTCCTGGTCATTTTGGTCTTGTAATTTATGATAGATTTGTGCGAAATAATCCTGTTTGTGTGTTTGTTGATTCTTTACCTGCTGTTGACAGGTTATTTAATGTTAGATATCCTGGATTTGACATTCGGCGTATTGATTTGATTAAGAGAGCTATAATAGACTTGACTCCTAATGTTAACGAGAATGATATTCAAATTAATCCTATACCTCGTGGGGACTTTTTGAACAATTAGATGGGGTAAATTGTGGATTTTTTGTTTGTCTTTATTCTGAATTGTATTTGTTTAATAATAATTCGTTAAAGTTTCCTGATTTAAATATTCAATATGAAAGGAAACGAATTTTATGGAATCTCTCGCATTTGATTCTTTCTAATGATATTAATTATGTTGGGCTTTTTGATAATCATCATAGAAACGCACCAGTAAATAATAATGTTTTTAATTTTAATTTGGATTTTGGTAGTTTTGTGGAAGATAATTGTGTTGTTAATAATTTGCCTGTTTTGAATTTAGAGCCAGATCCGCCATTAAGGAGGTCTGAAAGAATTAAAGCTTTAAAGAATAAAGAGACTTCTGATTTAAATATTAGTAATATTAACATTGCCTCTCTAAATGAAATCACTTCACGTTGTCACTGGTCCCATAAATTATATCCTTGTGCAGATGTGCGTGCAAGACATGTTGTTACCTATTATGACTCTGGAAACATGGGAGACAATGTATGTTTTTATTGTGGAGCATTGTTGTTTAAGTCTGAAATTAACGATGCACATTTAAAAAAGTTTAAAAAGGTTTCGTCTTCATATTGTTGTCGTTGTGGTTTAATTAAGCTTCCTTCGTTTAAGCCACATCCTCAACTATTAAAAGATTTGACAAAAGGGGATACCAAAGATTCTAAAAATTTTTTGAAAAAACATAATATATACAATTCCCTATTGGCTTTTGCGTCTGTTTATGTTGGGCATCGAGAAACCACATTATATGGTGGCGTTTGTTATCTGTTAAACGGCGAGTTTGTTAGGAAAATGAGCTCGATGATTGCTGGAGATTCAGGGCCATCATTTTCCCAGTTATATATTTTGGATGCTGATACTGCATTTCAACATCGTGTTTCTAACGTTGCTTACGGTGGTGATAGGGTCGATCCAGATATTTTAAAGAATTTAGATACTCTTCTTAGAAACTGTCACCCTTTAGCAAATACTTATAAAACTTTTCATGATCAATATTTAGAAAAGTTAGCAAGGGATGGCCCAGATTCTGTGCAAAATTTCAGACTCGTACTTTTGGAAGAGCGAGAAGCGCCTGAACTTATTATAGATAACACATTACACGTTAGACAGGTTAATCTTCCTACAGAGGAAACTTTGTTTTCATTGCACACAGAGTCAGATGAACCTCCTATTGTAAAAGGGCTTTTTATTACTGGGGATCAAGGGAGGTTATTTGTTTTTCCACCACATCATCCTCAAACAGATACATTATGTTACCCTCTTTTGTTTCCGTGTGGAGATGATAGCTATCATAATAAAATTCCGTTTGCTAGAAAAGTGTTAACTGAAGATAAAAGTGATAATGATTGTTCTGATTGCGAGCCTGATCCACTTTTAGAAAACAGTCGTAAAAATATTAGTATTCGAGATTATGTTAAATATAGATTAGCGGTAAGAAAGCACGAGGATTATCATAATATTTGGAATTCTGGTGGAGGTTTAAGCCAAAAATATGCTTTAGATTACACAGCTAGAATAGATTCCGAAGTAGCTAATTATTTACGTAGGGACGACATGGATTTGCGTGCTACTATTGGCCCAGACGCGCTTAGGTGGTTACAAAGTGATTCTGGTGCTAATTCTATTGCTGATTTAGGGCATGTTGTTATGTTTAGGTCTTATCATCCTGGGACAAGACCCTATTTTCAGGACATGTTTTACGACGCCACTACTCTTATGGCTAGAGTTCGCAAACCTGAAAACGCATCATTTATGTTCACTTTCACCAGCAATCCTCACTGGCCCGAAACTAAGAGAAATTTTTTTCATAAAAATCAGAAAATTGTGGATCGATTTGATATAATTAGTAGGGTATACGAAGACAAGTTACGGCATCTTCATTACTTATTAAACAAAAAAAATATTTTTGGAAAAATTTTGGGATATGGTGAGAGTAGAGAGTTTCAGAAAAGGATTGGAGGGCCTCATTTACATAGAGTTTTCTGTACCAATATTGTTCCAACTCCTGAAAATATTTCAAATTTAATTTATGCACATATACCACCTGAACCTCCTGCAGATGATAATTCTGGGTGGGCTAAATTTATGAGAAAAGTTAGAGAACTGTTACCGCTTTATCAGTTTCATGACTGCTCAGAGCATTGTAAGATGACTAATGGTAAATGTAAAAAGGGGTTCCCAAAACCTTTTAGTAATATTACAGTTTTGCATGAGAATACGCCGGCAGAATATTATCGGCCTTCCCCTAAGGATGGTGGAGAAGTTTTGAAAATAAAGCGGGGTAGTGCATTAATCACATATGATAATTCTAAAGTAGTACCGTATAATCCACTTATTTTGGTTATGTTTCAATGCCACCATAACTTAGAATTCGCTTACGGGCAGACTGATAATTTAAAATATGCTTTAAAATATCCTTTTAAGGGTTCAAGTTTTTCTTATGTACGTAGCGAAGCTAGCGGTCTTATAAATGTAGATGAGCCATTGCATTATGCCAGAATGATTTATCGCAGTCCAACTGAAGCGTATACAAAAATTATGTCGTATAAATATGCTTTTTTATCACATATTGTAAAAGCATTAACTATTCATTTACCGGAAAATCAGAAGCTTTATTTTACACGTAAAAATACAAGTAAATTGATTAATGCTATTAATTCGGGTAATATTCCAGATTCGCCTCTTTCTGCCTATTGGAAGTTATGTGATAAGGATTCCGTAGTTAAAAATATTCTTTTTGAAAACATGCCTGAAACGTACGCGTTTAATACGAAAGATAGGGTTTGGAAGAAGTTGAATATTAATGAAAAAAATAAAAACCGCAAACCTCGTATAGGGAGAATTTTTTCTGTGTCACCAAGGGATCCGGAAAAATTTGCATTATACATATTAACTAAACATTATACTGGCACACCCGAAGATCTTTTAACTGTTAATGGTCATGCATGTTTAACATTTGCTGAAGCTGCTCGATTAAGAGGACTGTTTGAGGATAATAATGTTTGGGAACGCACCTTAAGAGAGGGTTCCATTTCTTTAAATCCTTCCCAAATGAGACAATTGTTTGCCAATATTCTTGCTTTTGGGGGAACTGAAAAATGTGTAATTGATGGCCTTTTACTATGGAATATGTTTATCGATCATTTTTATGATAGAAGAAGGTGTTCAGAAGCAGAAAAGCTAATAAGAATTGACAGAGCGTTAGCAATTGTAGAAAGAATGTTACTAAGTCATGGTCGTACTTTACAGGAATTTAATCTTCCTTCTCCTAATCGTCCATTAATAAATGATCCAAATAGGGCTCTTGAAGACTTCTTCTTTCCGCATCATATTAACGATGATGAAATGGATGAGGCTATTGACACTACTATTTTTGATAACGCGAATCTAAATGCCGAACAGCAACGATTCTATAATCTAATTCGCTCTTCTGTTTTAGATCCATTCACTAAAAATAAATTATATTTCTTGTCTGGTGATGGGGGTACGGGGAAAACTTTCCTTCTTAATTATGTTATTTATAAATTAAGGGAAATGAGACAAAAAGTATTAGCGACCGCTTCGACTGGAATAGCTGCCACTAATTATTACTCTGGTGGGATGACATTTCACTCTGCCTTTAGATTTAGTAAGGATGTAGAGCCAGGAGTTATACCACCTGTAACAGCAGATAGTTACTTTGGACGTAGAATTATTGAGGCTAATGTAATAATTATTGATGAAGTTTCAATGTTAAATAGGACAATTTTTGAAAATGTTAATCTTTTGTGTAAAAAATTAATTCCGCAGTTTACAGATCAGCCTTTTGGGGGAAAGATAGTTATAATATCAGGTGATTGGAAGCAGTCCCTTCCTGTAGTTAATGACTCGTCGTCACCTGGAGCACAGGTGGCAGCATCAATCCAATCCTCACATTTATATGGAAGATTCGAAAAACACAGATTGTTACAAAATATGCGTGTAATTCCTTCAGAAATTCAGTTTAAAGATTGGCTTTATAGTATTGGAACTGGTCAAACAGGCGATTCAGTTAGTATACCAATAGGAATGAGGGTTAATTCGCGCCAAGCCTTGTATGCATTCGTATTTAACACTGGGTTTGATGCACCAGTTCACGAATTATTAAAAAGATTAATTCTTTCACCAACTAATAGAGTAGTTGATATGATTAATGAAGAAATTGTTGGTTTGATAGACTCGCCTGTTCAAGAATATTTATCAATAGATAATCCCACGAGTGAAAATCCTTTTGCTTATAATTTAGCTGAGTATGAAGTTGCGCAATTGAACAGGCTTACGCCAATAGGAATGCCTGCCCATAATATAAAACTTAAAGTTGGTGCAGTAATTGTTTTGCTTCAAAATTTAAATACACAGAAGGGTTTATGTAATGGCACTAGATTGATTGTTAGGCGTTTATATCAAGATTTAATTGAGGCAGAAACCATAAGTGGTTCTTCTGACCGTGGTATTACTGTTGGAATATGTCGTGCAAGAAATAGTTATAAAGATATTCGACCTGATTGTGTTAGTTTTGAACGATTTCAGTTTCCCGTAAGGGTGGCTTTTTGCATGACTATTACTAAAGCCCAAGGGCAAACTTGTGAACGTTTAGGAATTGATATAAGCGATGAGCCTTTCGCGCATGGCCAAACTTATACCGCTTTTTCACGGGCCAGAAGTGGTGAAAACATTAGAGTTTTTGCACCCGGAAGACACCCTGATAATAATGGAAATATTTCTATGAGAAACGTTGTAGCAAGAGGTATTTCTTTTGATTGAATGTAAAAAAAATAAAAGTCGATTTATGTTGAAAAATTTTAGATTCTGTTTTTGATTTTGTGTTTGTTTTTGTATTTTGGTATTACTTTTGGTTGAGTTTTTGTATTTATAGATTATTTGTTGTGGAATGGTTTTTTGGTTTTATATTTAGTATTTTATTTGTGGTATGAATTATTTACTTTTGATCCGAATTGGTTTTGCGTTTAAAATTTATTTGTTTGTGACTATTATTTTAGTTTATTGAAATTTGTGTTTGATTTATGATTTTCGTTTTGTAGTTTTTTAGGTATGGTTGGTATTTTTAGTGGAGTGTTTAATTATGTTTTATAAAGTAAATTTGTTTTGTTTATCATTTAATTAGGAGGTGATTAGATTTTTGGAATGTCTTGATAGAAATGGTTATATTTTTCGTAATATTGGTGTAATGTTGTTTCTATTTATAATATATTTTATGGGACGGTTTTTGGGGTTGTATTATTAAATAATAGTATTTTTGGGGTTGTATTATTTAAAAATTAGTGTTGGGGTTGTTTTTAAACAGAATTTTAGTTATTTAATTATTTTTATAGTTTGAGTTTTAATTTTATTTTTTTATTCACTTTTATGTCCAATAGGGGCATAATCGCACGGGAGGCTTTATGCCAACCGGTTGAGTATTTCATTGTTGTTTATTTATTATTTATTTATTTTTTATTCACTTTTATGTCCAATAGGGGCATAATCGCACGGGAGGCTTTATGCCAACCGGTTGAGCAATTTCTTTTGTTTTTTATTTATTTGTTTATTTAATTATTATTCACTTTTATGTCTAATAGAGGCATAATCGCACGGGAGGCTTTATGCCGACCGGTTGAGTATTTCATTGTTGTTTTTTATTTATTTATTTATTGTTTTTAATTATTTATTATTCACTTTTATGTCCAATAGGGGCATAATCGCACGGGAGGCTTTATGCCAACCGGTTGAGTATTTCATTGTTGTTTATTTGTTTTTAAGTATAATTTAATAGTATTTTATTATTTATTTTGGGGATTTTTATTATTTATTTTTTTATTATTTATTTTTGGGGTGGGTCCCTCCCACGGGGTACAGGGTTTGCCCGTTTACCTCCGTGCACCTCCACGTGGTGTACCCTGGGCATTGTTGTATAATAATAAAATGTTATACAACAATGGCTAAGCACGGTAAAAACGGGATGGTTTGAATTATAAAAATGCAACTGTTTCTAGCAGCGCGCGAAGCGCGCCCCAAAGCCGTTAGGCTTTCCAACGGGCAGAAGTATCGTAACTAAAGGCTCCGCCTATTAAATATAGTGCATACGTAAGTTACCGCCATCGCATACGTAACCCATAGCTAGTTTGGATTTACATATTTATAAATTACCTATTTAATATTTCAATACAAATGAATAAATATTTAAATAATGCAACAATAATTTTTATTTTTTACTATTACTTCCACCGAAAGTGAATACTAAAACAGATTTGGTAATGGACGTGGATTTTGGTATCCGGATATTTACGGCGGATACAGACGGATATCCGCAGGCATTTTGAACTTATCTGTATCAATATCTGTATATCCATTACCAAGCCTGACTAATATTACTACCTATAATGTTTCATTTCAATTTGCACTGTATCTTCAGACTGTCTCATCTTTTTATGTTCTTTTCACTCATCGCATATCTTCTATTCAGAATACCTCGACTTTCATACCTTTTATAAATTTTTAATACTATTTTTTATTCTCAAGATACAGTATTTGAGGCACACTTTATACTAGAGTCCGGGCAGTAGGGGGTGATCAACATTCGATATATATAGAAAAATATCGAAAGAAAAATATCGAAAAATAAAGAAAAAAAGGCTAGATATTCTTCGATTTTTTAAAATAAAAATTTTTATAACCAATGGATGACAAAATAGTGCCAATAGTTCATTGAGATTAAGATTGAGTAAATGGGATATTTATGGATTTCGACGGATTAAATGGATCACCCAAAATCCCTCTTAGTCCACCGAAATCACTCTTAATCCATTTAAACACTCCTAATCCACCGATATCCTCTTAATCCACCGAAATAATCCATATTAGTCCATATTAAACACTCCTAACCATATTAGTCAATATCTTAATCCATATTAGTGTTTGGAGGGATATTGAGGGAATCCCATGTCTCTTCTATCTCTTTTAAATCTTATCAATTTTATTGATAACACTTTTATCTTCTTCAAATGCAAAGATAACACAGTGGATTTTAAGTGTCACTTTTTGAGCGTCGGCAAAATTTTCGTAAGCCGACTTTCTTCATTTTTGCGGACCGGATACATATCTCGCTCTCATCTTCCGTTTACTTCGGCAAACCCAATCGTGAATATATGTTGAAGTATCCCTTTCTTCATTCTTGCGCCGCAGGAAGAAATTTTTTGACTATGGCGAGAAAGGCATGATTGTTCCCTTTTCGGGATCAATCACGTCCATTATTGAAGGCCGAAACTAATAGGCAAGATTCTGAACACAAAAAACGCTAAAAATCCTAATCCATCTTTGAAAACTAACCATCAACTTTATGGGACCACGAAATTCGTACTTACTTTGGCTGGGTTCGAAAAAATCTGTTGTTACTAATTACGATGTACGAGACCAAAAATTTAGAGGCTTAAAATATAAATTATCCTCCGAATTTTATTTTATACACTTCATATCACGAGGACAAAAGTAAATTTTAATTTTATTTATTATCTCATTTAGTCGACTGAGTGCTCCATTCCGACACTTTAATTTCCGTCATCTCTGGTCCCAGATTTGTCTTTTTCTAAAAATAAAATTAATAAAAATTTTTTTAATTTTTAAATTTTATTTAAATGCCAACACATTTATTTTATTTAAAATTTTTTATTAAAATTTTATTTTATTTAAACAGTGTTAAAAAGACGTCAATCTCTTCAATGAAAAGATTTTTTAAATAATTTTTAAAATAGAATTTATTAATTATTTTATTCATTTTTTTATTTCTAAAATTTTTTTCTTAATTTTATATTTTTTTGCCGAATTAAACTTGAATTTATTGGATGGAAGAAGCAGAACCATCGTTGAATGTGTCCAAACCGAGTGGCTCTTGTATACATTTTTGTGGAGTCCAGACTGGATATCTATTAACTCTTTGATTTTTCTGGATTTAATAACGAGATTAATGCTTTTTTTCAGTTTCTGGATTTTTTCTTGACTTAAAACCCAAAATCTGAAGCAATTCCAGGATCAGATCTAAGTTTTTTGTTTACAGTTTTGTCGACATATTTTTTAAAATAATTCTCAAACTTTCAGAATATTTATTTTTAAACATGTCAAAATATTTATTTTTTACTTTAATATTAATTGTCACTGCTTCAATAAATAATGCTATTATTTTCAAAACTAATTGCAGTGAAGCACCTCCAGAAATACAATCATCTTGTAGGCGTATGCAAAATTCAATGCTTATGTCGATGGATAAAATGGTTGGGAAAAATGTTTTTGAAGAAAAAATTTTTAAAACGTTATTTAGGCAGCTGATCAGCCACCTGCGCCTGTTACACAGGAACCTGTAAACGAGCCTTCAACACAAAAAGAAATGGTATGAAAAGGGAAGAGGGGGTACTTCTCTCTCACACACAGGATATCTTTTACAACTCTCCTTTCCCATTTCTAATTTCTTTAACACTCCCATAGCTAGCCTTTTTTGATTTTCAAAAATTTACTTATTCCATCCAAAATTTCAACCTTAATATTATTTTTAGGCAGCTGAACAGCCACCTGTACCAAATACTCAGGAACCTGTAAACGAACCTTCAACACAAAAAGAAAAGGTATGAAAAGGGAAAAAATACACTCCACATAAGAGATTCCAAAGCAAGATCAATCTCAAAAAATTAGGCAGAATAATTTTTCTAGTTGGGATCTGAATAAGCACGTTTGAGGGAAATCTAGATAGTGGCTAGCAAATAATTTACTAGGCAAGCCACTCAAAGACTTTTCCCTATCTTATCAAAAAAGAATTGGGTGATATAAAGGGAATATTAAACTGCAATATATGTTTAATAATTTAAGGATTATCCAACAACAAAAGCTCCATGTCATGAGGAATGTAAGGATGAGGATTGTGAATAGGTACATATTCTGATTAATGAAGAAAAGGGTTAAAGGAGAGAATCAAAATATTAAATAAACAAGAAATATGTATGTAACTGCTTAAATTATAAATTAAATTTTGCAATATTGGATAAATATTTTGATAAAAAATTTTTTCTACATTATTTACCTAATGCAATTTAAAGCACTAATTTGTAAGTTCTGATTTTAAAAGGTATAGTATGTCATATGCCAAATAATATTAAAATAAATACACGTGGCTAAATAGGCCTCTTAAATCGGAAATCAGAGTAAGTTTTCGGAAATTGGAAGGAATTCCGGCCGATCACAGGTTAGGCGTTCAAAGAATCACGCATTCCATACGAATACCTCTTAAGTTCCCTTCAACCTATGTACCTCCTATGTTCCCCTTAGACTATCCCCTCCCTATTTTCTAAAAATATTATTAAATTTATTGCGTGTTTGAATTCTAAAGAATGTTTTCTAATTTGTTTTATTTAATTAAAAATTCTCTCCAACCTTTTACAATAGTAGATCAAAAATAAAAATATACCTACATATTTACACATTAATAAAATTTATTTAGGTACAACAAAATACATATATGTACAATAGAGACTTTTTAGAGACATTAATAAATATGCACAAATACAAAAAGTAAACGTGTAAAAAATAGGTTAAAGATTTTATTTTAGCTCAAAAAAAATATTTTTATTGTTTTTCTTTAAAAAATTTTTAAGATTTTTTACGCGCCCTTTGTCGTAAATTTTTTGTCGATTTTTATTTTATAATTAAATTCTCGTGAACAAATTCTCTATAAAATCAAAAATTTATTTGCCAAGACTGTTTAGATTAATAATTAAATAAAAATTTTCTTTGGGACATTTTTGGGTGGTTAATTTTTGTTTTTGGAGTAACACACAGTCTTCCATTTCTTTGTCAAGCTGTGGGTTTTGTTGTAGAGTGTTGAGTCTTGAATCTGGGAAAATTCTTGGTCTTGGACATCTTACTCTAACCAAGTATGTGGCATGCCATATTTACTCGATTGTAAAATTAAAATCGCCTTTTTTGTTCTTCAATTAAGTTATAATATATTAAAAAATGGATTTTAATCTCTCTAATATACTATATTTAGTTAAATAATGTCAATCTTTAAATTTTATTTATTCACTCTATTTGGCATAAATTTTATCGTGAGAATTAATTTTGTCTCCTCTTTATTACTTCTTATTAATTTACTCTTCTTTAAATTAAAGTCCAAATACAAGCCCAATTCAAATAAATATTTATTTAAAGAGGCAATACAATTTCCAACAAATAAATTATGTGAATAAATAAAAAGGGGAGAAGGGACACTCAAAGAACAAAATTACTAGAATGAACGAATTTGGGGAGAGAGAATTTTCTTTTATAGGAACATAAAAAGGGATACAATGTCATTTATTTATTTAAATTAAAATTAAAGTCAAAAGAGTCTGAGAGTTACCACATCTCCACCTTCTAAAAAGACGAGTCCCTCGGCTTTGAATCGGCTACGAAAGGGTGTGGTTCACAAACGGTCACGAGATCTGCTTCCTTCATAACGTCTAATTCTCTCGAAGACAGAGCGCCTAGGGATTCGGTCGCCTAGACCTCGCCCCCTCCGATTCTCATTTCCATGCCAACGGCTTCTAGGAGTTTGGTCGCCTAGACCGCCCCCCCTCGAGTCATTCCTGTTTGAGTTCCTTCCACTTCTCTCATTTCTCGGAACAACAATTTTTGATTTGACATTTCGAACGCCTAGTTCATAGTCACCAGGGAAATTGGGGACTTGCGTTACCAGCCAAGCTTTCATAATCTCAACTCCGTTACTTTTCATCTTTCCGTCTGCTTCTACTGTCAGAGCGTTAAAAGAATTCCCGAATCTGGTTAATTCTAAGAAACTTCTTCCGGTATTTGTTGTTGTAATGAATTCGAATTGGTCAGAACTTTCTTCTTTCAAAAAGTATTTTAATTTTGAAATAAGCTCTTCGTATTCATTATGTTTCTGTCTAATGTAAGGAGGTGGAAGCCAGATTACGTGAATGTGTGTAAATCTTTCAAGAAGTTGTTTCAGGCGCCTAGCCTCTTCCATTAATTGTTCAACTGTTTCTCCGCCTAGGAGTGCATCTCTTCCTAACATTACAATTACAGTTTCAACTTCCGACGAAAGCACAACTTCATTAAATTTCCTTATTACTTCATTTAATTGTCCCCCTTCTTTTCCAAGAAAATAAGACGGATTAAATATTTTCGAGAGCTGATTTGCATTAGTATCACCGAGAAATACTCTTTTGTGATGAATTAAATGTTTTGCTTTATGAATGGAAATTGCTCGAATTTTTTCTAACTTCTTATTTCCAATTTTAAAAACATTTATCCAACCTTCTTTCTCTACTTCATTAATTCTTTCTAAGTCTCCCGGAAGAATAATTTTAATTTTTTCGAATTTTGTTGTTTCCAAAGCTTTTCTCGCTTCTTTACAATTTTCAAACCAAATAGAAAAAGTCTCTTCTATCTGATGCTCATTTGGAAATAATCCGCTTTTCACAGTATCACCCCTCTCCTCCTCATATTTAGACAATTCCGTCCCTGGAATTGCTTCAAGAATTTTAATTAATAAGCTTCGAGCTGCTGTTGTTGCTTTAATTTCATTTGATTTGAGAAGAAAAATTGCAAGGAGAGCTTTTATTGGCGTGTTAACAGAACGAGAACCAATTCCAGTTTCTTTGTCTAGTGCTGAGTCCAAGTCACCGACTTTTAAGTTTTCATTAGAACAGCGTTTTGTCCAAGAAATTTCGTCAGTTTCAAATTCCATATTATCGTCTGAAAAAATTAATGAAAAAGAATTAGCATTGATTTCTTTTCCTAAATTTTTCTTTTTATTTTCCCCATTAAAGTTTTTGCTGTTATTCTCAATTCCCTCAATCCCTGCCAGCAGAATAGCCATTAAAATATTTTTAAAGGGATTTTTGCCGCGCGGTAATGTTGCTACGTCAGGCACTCCGGGTGGTACACGAATAAGCCGCTCTAAAGGTACTTTAATTTTTTCATTGCTTTTGTCAATGGGAGTGAGAGTTGCTGACGATTCATTCATTTCTAATATTTTATATGGTCCGAAATGGTTCCAAAGTAACTTTTTGTGTGGCGCTTTTCTATTCTTTCCTGGAAAAATTACCATAACTCTATCGCCAATTTTAAATTTATTAGCTGTTACTTTGGGTTGTGAGTCGTACCAAATTTTACTCTTTCCTTGTGCTTTTTCGGAATTCTCTTTAGCCTTATCGATTAGTTGGACTAAATTTTCACGAAAGAGTTGAATATAAGTTTCGTCGTCAATAGTGTATAGGGGGTTTACTGAAAGTGACATTTCTTCAAAAGGTAAGTTTGGAGGTTTTCCTAAAATCAGGTTGTAGGGAGAAAACCCAGTTGTTTCACTTGGAGTTGAATTATAAGCGAAAATGAGATAAGGAAGTCTTTCGGGCCAAGTCCAGTTTGAAGCTGTTGACCGTTTTAACATCCCAATAATTATTTGGTTAATTCTCTCTACTAATCCGTTCGCATTAGGATCATATCCGGCTGTAACTGTTTGTTCTATTTTAAGGGTAGTTAGTATTTCCTTAATAATCGCGTTTACAAATTCCTTCCCTCGATCAGAATGTATTCTTTTTGGTGCCCCATAAATTAGAATTATATTTTCAACTAGTGCTTTCGCAACTGCTTCTGCTGATTTATTTGGAATAGGAACCGCTATCACGTATTTAGAAAAATGGTCGACAGCTACAAAGATGTATCTAGAGTTTGCGTTACTTGGACCAACGTCAAGTATATCAATGCAAATTAACTCAAATGGTTCGTTTGTTCGAACTACTTTCATTGGCGGTTCGTTGGATTTTGGGTTTCTAGCATGCGCACAAATTCTACATTTTAAAGCAGTGTTAATGCATTCTGATTGCATGTTAGGCCAAAAGTATTTAACGGCTAATTGTTTGAAGATCTTTTTACCACTTAGATGACCTGCACATTTTCCGGAATGAGATTCAGTTAATAATTTAGTTCTGAAGGAGTCTGGTACAAAAAGTCTCATTTTCCCGTCGTTTTCATATTTGTAAAGCAGGCCCTCGATAACTGTGAAACTCAAACAACAATTAATTACTTTTTGTCTTTCTTTAAAATCGTCAGGCCAAATTCTCTTTTCCAAGAATTCATAAAGAAACTTAAATTCACTTTCTTTTGTCTTTTCCACCCATTCGTTTCTTTTATCGATTTCTTCCTTTTCGATATCGATTTGTGTGAGTTGTCCAACAAAAGCAATTTCTTCTACTTCAGCAGAATCGATATCTGGTATTTTTGAATCTTCCCATGTTGGAGCTCTCGATAGGAAGTCTGCGACAATATTTTGTTTCCCTGGGTTATATTCAACTTGGAGAGTAAATCTAGAGTTTAATTCTAAAAGCCATTTGTCAACTCTAGTATTTCCTGTTTCTGTTTTACTTTTAAACATTGAAACAAGCGCTCTGTGGTCTGTTAAAACTCTAGTTGGTATTTGTGCGATGAATTGGAAGAACTTTTTAGAACCGAAACGAATTGCCAATGCCTCGAGTTCTGTGGCACAGTATTTTGCTTCGTGTTTATTGCATTGGCGGGATGCAAAGAAAATAGGACGAATATTTCCTTCTTTATCTGCCTGACACAATATTGCAGCAATCCCAGTTTTACTAGCATCCGTTAACATGATAAATCTTCTTTTAGGGTTATTAATTGCTTCTTTAAAATCCGGGAAATAAAGAATAGCATTTTGAAGAAGTTTTTCTTTTAGAAGATCAATTATCAGTTTCTCCTTTTCCCCTATTTTAAAGTCGTTTTCTTTTCTCAGTAGTTTGAATAAAGGTGAAGCTAAAGTACTAAACCCATGAATGAACTTCCTATAGTAAGACAGAAATCCAAGCAATGAACTCAGTTGTTTTCTTGTTTTGGGTGTTGGACAGTTTATGACGGCTTTAGTTTTTTCTGCATCCTTTTTAATGCCTTCGCGTGTCAAGATATGTCCCAAGAATGGAATTTCTTTACAAGCAAATTTACATTTTGAAATTTTTAATTTTAGTCCTGCTTCTTTTATTCTTTCAAAGATTAATTTTAAATGTTCAATGTGCTCTTCCCAACTTTCAGACGCTATTAGAATGTCGTCTATATAAATAAAGACAAATTTATTGACAACGTCTTCGAATAGTTTTGTCATAAAACGTTGAAATGTAGCTACCGCATTACAAAGCCCAAATGGAAGAACAATAAATTCGTGTAGACCAAATTCGGTTATAAATGCCGTTTTTTCAATACTCTGCGGTTCCATTTTTATTTGCCAATATCCCGAGAGGAAGTCTAGACAACTGAAAAATCTTTTACCGCCTAGTGTTAGAAGAATGTTGTCAATATTCGGAAGTGGATATGAATCCTTTATCGTCACTGAATTAACTCCTCGAAAATCTACGCAGAATCTTAAAGAGCCATCCTTTTTAGGAACAATAACAATAGGGCTAGCCCACGGCGAATTTGATCCTCTTATTATTCCTCTCTCTAAATAGTCTTGTATCATTAAAGCAACTTCTACTGTTCCTATAATTTCATTTTCGTTAAGCTCAATCGGAAATAAAGAGCTATTGACCACACGCACAAAATTTTTGCCGGACTCTGCTTTTCCGATAGTTGGTTCAACACTAATAGCAGTTTCTCTTTTTTGATTTTCTGAGTGCAAGACTATTTGTTTTCCTTCCCATTCTTCCCCTATTAATACTTCAATATTTTTAACGCTCAGTGCCTGAATTCGCGTTTTATAGATGACTCTAACTGCGTTGTTGTTTTGATCTAAATTTTCACTTCCAAAATCAATTAGAGCATTATTAGGAACGTCCATTAGCTTAAAACCAAGCTTGCCTAGTGAATTGGTGCCGAATAATAAGTCATAGCCGAAAGGGGCATCGGTTATGTGAAAACAAGTTTTAATTTCTTCTTGGTTTTCACGCTTTATTTCTAGCTCAACAATTCCATGGCATTCAAGCTTTTGCCCATTTACATCAGAAATTTTAGTTTTTGCTCTTGAAAATCCAATGTTTTTTAATTCAATTTCCTTGTCCTTAAGCAGTTTCAAAAGAAAATTTGAGCTTATTAGCGAAATTTGTGCGCCCCCATCTAGCATTCCTTTTGCAGGTAAACCCTTAACGTTAACTTTGATTGAAATTACAGGGCCTATTGAGTTCTTTATTATCTCTGCTTTTGCTTCTTGTTCGGGAATTTTCTTAAGCTCTTCCTTAATTTCCAAAATGTTTATCCCGCAAGAGTTAACGTGATTTTCGGGGATTTCGTCATGAATAGTTATGCAACCGTTTTTAAGTTGATTGTTTGACGGTGGGAGTGCTCTGGTTTGACCATTTCCTCGCCAAACTGCTGTATTTCTATTTGGCTAACTAATGTTATTTTTAGTATTCAGAAATGTTTTATTCGCTCCAGTAGCAGCTGCCACGTTATCCTTCGACATATATTGATTATTTCGACTAGAGAAGCAATCGCGTGAAAGATGACCTGGTTTTCCACAGTTAAAGCAGGTAATTTCGTTTCGAGGGATAAAGTTATTATTACGTTGTGAGAATTGTTGGACAGCGGGCTTAGATTGAAAATTTATATGCCGAGTTGCTTTTTGCGTCGATTCTGCTCTAGCTGCCAGGGACACGAAACTGTCAAAACTCATTCCGTCGTGTCGAGCTATTTCGAGATTAAGTGCCAGGTTTGAGTCACCAATGCTTCTTATCAAATGCTTTATTGAATATTCATCCAACAAATTATTTGTCATCCCTGGGTAAGCTCGTTTTACTAAAGATGCAATTCTATTAGCAAGTGAATCAATATTTTCATTCTCTCGCCTCTTAACTCCAGACATGAGTTCGTCGAACGCACAAATTTCTTTTGTGTCTGTTGTTTCGAGAATGCGAAGCATTTCGCGTCGAACTGATGAATAAATAAACGGACAATTTCCTAACGCAGTATTAAAAGCTCTTTCCGCTCTTCCGCTGATTTTAGACTCCAAAGCTTTTAACCGCACAACATCTGATATCCCTTCAGTAGCAGAGTCAAATTTTTTGAAGAATGTCTTAATTTGATCGACACCTTCAGGACCTTTCAAATCAGGAATTTTGTCTAATGCCCATGACAAAGACATCCTATCAAAACTGTGCATGAACCCAGC